ACATTAGCTTAAATTATCAGAGGACCAAGGAAATGTAGCAAAATCATTTTAGAAAGCTAAAAGTAGCAAAAAGTTCTTTCAAAACTTAAGATTGGCTAGATGTGGCAAAGAGCTAAAAACCAAAGAAGCAAAAGTTTAGCTAAAAGCAACCAGTGGTTAAAACTGAAAAAATGTAAATGTAGCAAAACTCCAGCTACAAACTGAAGCAATAAAAAGTATGAAGATAAGGGATGGATAAGATTCTCTGCACAGTTCATTCAGATCTTTGTGTTTCTTTTATTTATTGTATTTTTATTTTTAAATTTGTGAAATATATGAATAAAATAAAATATATACAAGTAGCAAAATGTTAGTTCAAAGCTTAAAGTAGCAAAAGATTATGTGGCAAAGAGCTAGCTCAAAGCTAAAGCAGTTAAAGTTAGCAGAATGCAGCTGAACTGGGTTCAGTTTACAAAGGAAGAAATCTCAAGTTTGAAAATAAAGTTAAATAATTTGAAAGGTATAAAATCCACAGCCGTCGTCAAACGAGCCGAAGGTTTTGGTTAACAAAGAGCTAAAATATCTCAGAGTCTGCAGAAGTAGTTCTTTTAAAAAACAAACAAACAGGAAAATAAAATAAAAACAACAGGAAAAAGCTGACTCAGCGTAACATAATCAGTTCAGGAGAAATTATTAAACAGAACAAAACGTAAAGCAGAAACAAAATCTCTCCAGACTTGTTTTTGTCTGAGTGATTTGATGAGCAAAAACTATATTTTAAGTTGTTATTATTTTTGTGTTAGCTGTGTTAGCTGTGTTAGCTGTGTTAGCTGTGTTAGCTGTGTTAGCTTAGCTGTGGAGGTCATCGGTTTTACATCTGTGCCCTTCTTGTGAACCATGAGATATTTTACTAACACAGACAGGAGGTTGTCGGTCACTGCTTCTTTGTTTTAATGTTTATCAGGTTTTAGAAACCAACTCTTCAAACCAGCAGAACCTCAGCCGAGAACAGAGTTTCTAAAAAAAAACTTTCTGTGGTTTAATTTCAGAGCAGAAGGTAAAAACTGAGTTATTTCAGACTTTATAAAAGCTCGAGCCACAACAGTGCTGCCAGATAAATAATAATCGTTGCTTTTTTTGATGATTTATCATTTTTAAAGCAGCAGAACAATATTTAATTACTTTGTTTCTTATCTGGCAACMCTGCTCTCCTCAACAGACATTTTTATTGTTACAGTATTTTTTTAAACCACTTAACAGGTTAAAAAATGAATTAAAGAATTTTAAACCTCTAATTATTGAACAATCTGTGGTTTTGTGACACTTTATGACCTCTGCTTTAGTTAGATCAAATAAACTTTGGGTTCAGTTGTTTTCATTTGTTCTTGGCTCAGATCTGAGTGGGTTCAGAAACAAAAACAAACAAATTCCTCTGAAAACGGAATAAAAAAATACAAATTTGTAAAGAAAATCTTTAAAAAGYTCTTCAGAAAACCTGAGGAAGTCTGTCTGAAGTTAAAGGATTATGAGAAAGTCTGGTTCTTCAGAAGTCAAACGTAAAAAAAAGGCGTGGCGTCTGACGTTTATGGTTCTGTTGAGTCTGTGTCTCAGACCCAGTTCCTGTCTTYAGTCTGAAAGTTGTTCATTCATTTTCTGAACCCTGCTGGGAAATTTCTTTAAATCAGAGTCTGACTCACTCAGTTCATCTTGATTTAAAAACACGTTGAAGCTCAAACAGGAAGCCGATATATAAAGATTATTGCAGCTGCAGATGTTTTTAATCGTTTTAATGAAGTCAGAAAATCAACTCTGCTGATGACTGAGGAGATTTTATAAGAAACGAGATTAAAGGTCATCAAAACGAGAACAAAAAAAACTTTAGTTTTATCTTTTGGTTTAAAAAAACAAAATCTCAAACAATCATCTAGTATATTTTCCAAAACAGAAATAGCAATTAAAGGTTAGAACATGAGTTATTTAATTAAACAGAAGCAAAAGGCTAGCTAAAAAGAATTGACTTATCGTGATCATGTACAAGTCTTAACCACTAAGTTGAAACAGAAATTATACATTTATTC